CTGATGAAGTCACTGAGCCCCTAGAGGAGGTGAGAATAAGCTACCCAAAGATGGGGCAGCTTTGGGGGAAGAACCATGGGTAGGAAGATTTGAAACCCTCCCCCCAACTCCTTTTCCACCCCATACAACCTCTGGTTTGAGGACAAGCCTTCAAATCTCAAACCATTCTAATTATTCCCTGGAAATGCTGCCAAAATAAATATGTTGCAGACATTCCATTCCCCTACTGGGGTTCCCTGCTTGCATCCCCTGCTTCACAAAATAGCCCAAATGGCTATTTATTAGAATTTTAGAACTTAGAGCCATAAAGATACCCTTAGAGGCCTTTTTTATCGATAAAGCAAGTGAGGCCCAGTTCACATGAACTGCACAGCCAGGATTTGAACCTAGATTTTTTAAACTCCAAGTAATCCAGAGCTGGCAGACAACGTTGCCCCTAATAGCGCCCCTCATGCGTATCAGAATTTTCCCCTAAAAAGGCAGAGACCCTGCAGGGATCCCAGTAAATCTGGAGCCCCACAGTGGCCTAGGGTCAGTTTCATGCCTCTGCCACCATACCAGTGTGACCGGGGCAGCCAATCACTTCATCCCTTTATATCTTAGGCCTCACCACTCATGTGGTCTCTGAGCACCCATCTAGCTCCACATTTACAAAACTAATGAAAACAATGACAAGAAAAATCATAAACAAAAAAAAAAAGCAGCAACAAAACTCTACCTTGTTTATATACTCCAGGAGCCAGATGATAGCTTAATATTGACTCTGAAGCCAACTGTGATATAGTAACAAAAGGAAAGCCCTTATTGTTGCTTCTTAACTCAAATTTCACCTGGGAAGGTTCAAAGAAGAAAATGGTGGGGAGAACTGTCCTTGGGTATCAAGATATGGAGTGGGTGGGGTAGAGGGAGCCATGGAGGGTGGTAGGGAGAGAGATAAGCAGAGAGAAGATAGTTTTGGCAAATGGAGGGCAACTTCTGCCCCCCCCCCGCCCTAGCTCTCTTCCTGCACCCCTCTCCTACTTTTTTCCTTCTCTCTCTTTTCTCCTCTCTTCTTTTTTCCTCTTCTTTCTTTCTCCTCACTATCTCCCCTTCTCTCCCTCCTTCCCTCTTTTTTCTCTCCCTCTTCTCTTTTCTTCTCCTCCTCTTTCTTGCTCTCTCCTCCCCTCCTAGCAGCTCTATTAGAAGCCCCCACCAGAGCGTTTCCACAATACCCCAAAACCCTTCTCACAAAAGTGTAGAAATAGCTACCACTTTGTTCAAATCCTACCTGATGACAGTGTGGATGGCATTTTAAAGCAAAGCCACTAACTTGCAGCCTTCTAGGGGTTGACCTCCCAATGCCAGCTACTTGGGGATATCCAAAAAGACATGAATCACCAATAAAAAAAAAAACCTCCCAGAGAAAGCACAATATTTATATATATATATATAAAACACAACAACAACAATAATATAATATAATCACTCAGCTTATACACACTTCTAACTAAAGTCCTCACAACATCCCCGTGAGGTAGGGAAGTAATACATTTACAAGCTCGTGTTAATCCCCAGTGCATACAGTGTTCCATCTTCCAGCATTTAGCAGTACGGAGACTCTTGACTCCTTGACCATTTGTTAACACAGTGTGCACTGTGGTTAACTATAGCCTCCATGAAAGGACTTGGGAATAATCATTCATGTCAACAGGATTCTAAAGGTAATATTATCTTTACCAGTAGATGAAAAAAAACAAACAAACAAGGGGGTGGGGACTTGGAAAGGAAAAAAAACAAACAGAAAATATACCCCCCATTATTAGAGAATAGGGGATGGATGACAGGGGTGTGTACAGTACCTGCAAAAAAAGAAAGAAAAAATTTAAAAAGAACCTTGCTCCCAGTGCCTGCAGTGGGCTTTGCTGTACTGCCAAACTTTCTTCAGGTGCCCTTCCTTTGTCCTGTTCTCCAGTGGATCTAACCTATAGGCTAACTTTGTTTATCCCAAATGACTGATTTAATCTGGTCCTGAAATCCTTGGTCCATGGCTATGTTCTGCCTGGCGACCATGTGGTAGTGATCAATGACCACAAATGTTGCCTACATTTTATATTAGCGAATGGCTCCATAGAACCTTATCGTCTGGATCCAGGAATAACAAACTCTAAACAGATCCAGCAAAGGGAGGCAAAAATTCCCTAGTAACCAACCGTTGGAAAGCCCTGAGTTACAGTATTTATATAAAAAAGTAGAAGGACTCACCCCCCACCCCTACACCTTCCTCATGCTCCAGCTGGCCCCAAATGGGAATGAGGGTTGGAGGGTGAGTTCAGATGACCTAGCACCAGTTTGATGGGGAATTAATTTGGCCCTAGCAAAGGCTCTGAGGTGAGTTGAGTCACATTTGATTGGAAATAGTCTCCTCTTCCCGCTAAGACTCCAAGAGCACCTCTGGCAATAATAGCATCCAGTACAGTACATACCCCTCCCCTTTCTGAGAGCAGAGACTTGAGCACCTGAAGGCTTTGGGGGAAATTGGACCTCTTGGCCAGTTGGCTGCTCCTAGGGGGCTCAGAAAAGCACAACAGCTTGGCAAACTAGCCAGGAGGAGGAGGAAGAGGAAGAGGAGACAAGGGCTCCTTTTTATGCCCTCTCATCACCAAAATGTGGCAAAATATAGCTTGATACAATCCTCTCTGAAAACACATTCACAAATTCTAAGGCCTTGAAAGATCAAGAACTATGTGGTCTGAACTGCCACTCCCAAAACCCACAACAAAGGGAAAAAAATATTTTCCCCTAATGAGATTAATAAAGGAAAATCATGCTATGCAAAAAAAAAAGGAGACTAAGTGAAGAAACAATATGGAAAATAATCAAATCTTGTATTCAGAACTGTCCTCCAAATCCTCAGTTTTATCAAGAGGGAAACTGAGGCCCAGTGAGGGAAGGAACTGTATGTAGCCTATCATTTGCAAAGCTAGTGCCCCTCTCCTCAGCCTACTAATAGGAGGCTTCTTAGAAAACAAGATAAAAAAAAAGTTGATCAAAAAATCCCTCTAGAACTGTCCTCAAATCTTCCCCGGGGGCCACTGGGTTGTTGGCATTTCTCCAGAGCTTTCTCCTCTGGGCCCCTTTTTGTGACCTTGCCCCCAATTGTCCATGGTGAGCTAAGCATGCAGAATCTGCTGGGGCTGGTAAGTCCCTGGCCACGTTCCAGGCCTTATGCTGTTAAGGGCAACTCTGTTGCTGTCCCTAAATTTACACCCAAGCTCCACCCCAACCCCAACGTCATTCCCCCTCAAAGCTTCTTGAAATTCTGGAAAAACGAGAACCTCAAAACCATGTTGAGGCTCCCTACAAATGTCTCAATTATAAAAATAAAACCATGAAATGTCTTCAGCTCTATGGGAGGGAAGTCAGGTGTGTTTATCTCTCTATCCCTTACAATTCTGGAAAAATGACCATCTCAGGCTCCCTACAAATGTCAGCTAACAAAAACAAAAACAGGAAATGTCTTCAACTCTATGGGGCAAGTCAGGTATACTTATCTATTCTCCCCACACACCCAATTCCAAGCCTCAACATACATCAAAGATAGAAAAGGAGGCAAGCCCAAGGACGGAGGAGGGGACAAGTCTGGGGACAATATTGTAGGATCCAGAAACAAAGTTTCAAAATGCAGTCTTGACACTCACTCATTCCCAGCCCCTGGGGTGGGCTGCTCCCTTCTTTCTCCAACACCCTCCCCACATACACACACACAAACACACATCACACACATACGCATACCACACAAACTCACACACACACACACACACACACACACACACACACACGTCAGAGATCCCTAAAAACAGAGAGGGATTGAGTAATTCAAACCAGAAGGAAGAAGGAACTCCTGTGGCATTGCCAGCCTCTGTTAAGAGGGTGCCTGCTGGGGATCAGGGCCTGTTCAGATGGTAATGGTGTTACGCAGTTTCCCTGGGGCTTCTGGAGCACAGCTGGGATAGGGGAGGGGGAGTCCCCCCCAAACTCCTGCTCCTTTCCCCAACATCCCTGGGGGGCCAGAACCTGAATATTCCAGGGGTTATGAAGCTTCTAAGCAGCTTCCTATACAAATTAAGTCCCTACATCATTTCCATCCATCAGAATAGTCACAGGGCCTTGTAAAAGAAGGTGCTCAAAAATTGTTAGGCTTGTCAGAGCTGACAGGGCGCAGGGGAGAGTAGAAAAAAAAACAGTTCAAGTCAGCTCGTTGGCCAGCCTTTGCAAGCTGACACTCTTGAATCTTAGGGAGACGGCTGTTCTTCTTGTCACTGACAAGACACATGAGGCAGAAGAGGTCTTTTGAATTCGTGAAAGCACCATAAATATGATCCCTGAGCCCCATGAGGGATCCCCCAATCCCAACCCCCCATGCCTCTTCTGAAGTCCTCGATTCTGGCATTCCATTTTCCAACAGCCAAAGAAAAAACAAACTTGTCTTTGGCCCAAGTTGTGGATGGGGGACCCCAGAAGTAGCTGGGAATAACACCAGGTAAGCACAAGTCTCAGCCAGCCGGCTGGAAAGAATCAAGAAGGTGAGGCCCACAAGATGGGCACTTCCTGAGTTGGTAGGGATGGGCAGTGGAGAGCAACTGGGCTCTTGGAAACCATCTGGTCCTGGGCTTCTCAAGGCCAAGTATATGTTTGTTTGGTTTGTTTGTTTTTTCCCAGGGCCCACCACTGTTTTGGCAGTCAAGAACTACCGAGGGGTTTTTCAAGTGAATGTTCAAACCCATCTAAATTCAGATCCTTCGCCAACCTCTAAAAAATGGGAGGCTGGGGGAGGGGAGGGGTGGGATTGTGGTCAGGGTTGGACTTGCTAGTGAAAATCTCAATCCCTCCTTTTACCACCCTCCCCTGAACTTCTAGGTTCTTTTTCCTCGAGCTTAGTTTAAAAAAAAATACAAGAAACGTTCAGCAGCCTTGTGGCGGCCACCCACTTCCCCTTGCCCAGACACAAGAAAGACCATTCAAATAGTTAAATCAGTTGTTTTTGGAAAATGGAGGGAGACTAGCCTGGGGAGCCGAGCTGCACCCCCCTCAGGCTTGCAGAACAGATACAGAAATAAGTCATCAATACTGGAACTTGAAGTTCAGTATATGTGGCTGGACAGTTTACCAGGACATGTGGCCACCGTTGGCCGAAGAGACCTAGGGAGGAAGCAAAGAAGCCAGTTTAGACCCTCGGGATCTTTTACCGATCATTCTCTGTGTGTCCCCAGTATGCCCACCCTCTTGTGACAATGGGCTTATGTAGTTACCTTAAAGGAAGAATCCGGTGCAGGAGACTTTTTCTCTAAGTGGTATAGGGAAGGGGTGAACCCCATTCTATCTCCAGAGCCCCCTGGCATGGCCCAGATGACAGCTTCCCTGTGCCCTTCTGCACTAGCGTAAGGGCTGCAGCTCGAAAATTTGTGAAGGTCCAGCTCAGTACATTCGACGGGGGCATGGGCCCAGCACGACTGTGTTTCCGAGGCACAGGAGGGAAGTGTCAGCGGGTGCCCCACTGGATTGGGTTGGGTCTCAGAAGGCGGGCAGGTATGGATGAGCACCTGGGTATCGGTGGGATTGCAGGTCAGCTGCGCAGCAGAAGACTCAAGGTTGGCGTGTAGGTGATGAAGATGCTCATTTCCCTCGGTCCTGGATGCTGGGCTATCGGCCACAAACTGCACCGAATCCACAGCGACTGGAAATGAAGCCACCCGATACTGAAGTCAAAAGGCTTGCTCCCACAGATGGGACAATAGCACCCTATTCTGACTAGGACATTACAATTTTCCTCACAACCAACCATCCCGATGTGCTGGGCTATTACAGGAACTAGTCTCCTCGATAGGACAAAAGCTAGAAGGATTTGAACCCCGGGTCTTTTGCCACATACAGAATCCTCTTTACTCTCCTTTTGCACTTTGTCAAAGTCTTTCACTGATCACGCCCTTCCAAAGATGTGGTGAGCGTGACGAATAGAACTCCGGTAAGGAGTTCCAAGTGCTATTAGCTCAAGGGGAGGGCTGAGTTCAGTCCACCTACCAAAGAAGGTATATGTGGCATCTTCGAGAGCTGATATATGTGGGTTCAAATGCTCATACCCCTTCCCAGGGGCCTGAGCCTGGCTTTTGGCTTTAGCAGGGAGATGCCCCACTGTGTAAGGAACTCCAAAGAATTAACATAGAAGCAAGAGACACTCACCTCCATTTTGCTCGACAACAGGACCCAAATTCTTCATGCCCAGCTCTCTGCTGGGACACGGGCCTACATAATCAGAAGCCTGAGATAGTTCTCTCTGTCCCCGAAAGTCTGGAGACCCAATAAAACCTGCAGGGGAAGGAAAGAAGGCAATGAGTGAAGAAGAAGGCAGGCAAAAGGAAGAGGACCTTCCTCTACTCCCCCCATCTTGTCCTTCCCAACTAGCTCCCTACCTGCTGACGGTCATGCTATCAGCTCTCCAGGTCATGCCTCTGTCTGTCTAAGTATATTAAGACAATACAAAGGCAGTGGGGGTGAAAACCCTCAGCGTTACGATGCCTAAGCTTCAGTCTACCTGATGCCAGCCTCTAGGGGCAGGTTGTTAGTTGTTAGACTTTGGGCCCAGTCCCAGATGCTGGGCTCAGCCCTGGACACTGGGCCCAGTGCTGCCCTCTGGGCCCGGTCCTACCCTCTGGTGCCAGACTGGCTTTCAGCTGGAATTTATAGGCCCAGGTAGGTGCTGATTGGCGAACTTTTGAGTCAGCATTGTGACCTCATCATCTGTTTTCCAATGAGTGCAACTTTACCTCATCCATTATGACCAAAGCATTGTCTGTGATGGAAAGCTGGGTCAGCAACTGCATCAGCATCTGATTAATACCAAATCCTGGGTTTGGTCCCTGTACCCAGTACTGGAGGCCAATGTATTGGAAATAACTAGTTAATATTATACAAGTTAATATAACTACTATAAGTAGTTAACATAACTACTTATAACTAGTTAATATAAATCAGGGGACCCAAATGGGCCCTTGGGCCCTCATGGTGCCTCATTTTCCCTTGTTTGGCCTCAGTTTCTTCATCTGTAAAAGGAAGTTGGCCAGGATTTTGAACCTGAACCTTTGGACCCATATTTCCCCTCTCTAAGCTGTCTTTGATTACAAATTCAAAAATAGCTAGTTCCACTTTACATAGCAGGGAAGACAATATTCCTTCATCTTTCTTTTCAGAGACATTTCTTCTAATGGCTCGAGACATTGATTAATATGCTGATATACAAGTCTCTTATCATTCCCTATACCACAGAATGTAAGATCCTTGAGAGGAGGGACCTTCTTATTTTGTCTGGAATTAGGAAAACCTGAGTTCAAATCCATCCTCAGACACTTACTAGCTATCTGACCCTCAGCAAGTTACTTAAGCTCTGTTTGCCTCAGTGTCCTCATCTATAAAATGGGGGTGATAACAGCACCTACCTCCCAGGGCTGTTGGGAAAATCAAATGAGATAATACAGCTACTTAGTAAATGCTTTTATTCCCTTCACCCCTCCCCTCCCCAACATATCTTGTGTGTTTCTAATTGTTTTACATGTTGTTGCTCCCATTAGAATGTAAGCTCTTTCAGGGCAGGGGCTAAGTCTTAGGGTTTTGTATCCCCAGAGCCTAGCACCGTTTAGGTACTTAATAAATGCCTTTTGGTTGACTGATATCATTTCCTCCGAGTGGAATGTAAGCTCCTGAAAGGTGGGGACATTCTGCTTTGGACTTTGTACACCCAGTGCCTAGTAAAGGGCCTGGTACATAGTCGGTACTATGTAGCTCTTACTGTGTGCTAGGCACTATACTAAGCATTTGACAGATACCATCTTATTGAAATCTTATAACAACCTGAGAAGTAGGTTGCTAGTATTATCCCCATTTTGCAGATCAGTAAACTGAGGCCAACAGATATGAAGTGACTTGCCCAGGATCACATAGCTAGTAAGTATCTGAGTCTGGATTTGAATTCAATTCTTCCTGAGTCTGGGCCTGGGGCTTTGAGAAGTAGGGCACCCTGCCAATAGAGGGTGAGTCTGAGTCTCAAGTGCTCTACTACCCTAAGTGGGGCCCACCTTGCTCATATACCAATGTCAGACCCTGGCTTGGATAGGGAAGCCAATGCCCTCTATCCAGACCCACTGGGCACCAGTGGGCTATTTTGACTCAGTTGGCTGCCTTGCAAGGAAAGACAATGACTGAGCTGGAGAAAAAAATGGAAGTGTGCCCTGTCCTTAGCTCTCCTAGAGAACTCAATCCTTTCCCTGGTGACTCACTTGTACGGCCTTATGAGTGACACTTTCCTGGGGAACTCTTGCACCTGTCTCTTGCTTGCTTCCCGCACCTAGCCCTCCATTGGCCACATGCTTCCTTGCTCATCTCTTCAACGCTCGACTTCGTGCTTCTCCAGTTGCCTTGCAGGCAAGGCCCCAGCTCCCCCGTCAACGTGCAATCCTTAGCCCCAAGGTGGCCAGGATCGGATGACGTAGACTTGGCAGTGACCTTAGAGTTCACCAAATCCTTCAGCCCTCTAGTTTTACAGATGAGGAAGCAGGCCCAAAGAGACAATCATCCTAGGTCACACAGCTGCCTTCCAATCCAGCATTCTAATCACTCAAAGGTTAGGTTAGCAGAGCCAGAGACAAGGGAACCCCCATGTTCTCTCCTCCAGTTCTTTGTGGAGGCATATTTCTTCACTGTGCAATCACCCACCTTGAGCACTCCTGGTTGTCTTGTCAAGTATAGCCACCCCCCCCACCCCCCACCCCCACCCTGCCATTGCATTAAGCTGCTTATTTTCTGAACGAACCTGAGGTCCTTGGGAACACAGACACATTCATTTCTGGTTTTGCATCCCCAGTACCTAGTACACAGTAGGCATTTAATAAATATTTGTTGGTTGATTGATTTAGCATCTCTGGATTGCCCATAGGGGCCCAGTACTGGACTAGGCCCATTGATACCAACGAAAGTTATCCTACTCTCCCAGGTTCCCCAACTATCAGCTGCCTGGCAGTACTGAGTCTAAACCAAAGGAGGCAGACTCTGTATAATTTTTTTTTTAAATCTAAAAGGTGAACAATAGGGATAGAAGGGACCTTAGAGATCAGCTTACCCAATCCTCTGGGTCCTATGTTACAGATGAAGAAACTAAGGACAGAAGAGAAGCAATGACTAGGCCAAAGACACACAGATAGCAAAGCAGAGTAAGCATTTGAACCCAGACCTTCTGATTCCCAATCCAGTGTTATTTCCAGCCTCTGAGCAGCTCTGTCAATGCCACCCCTGATGAGTCTGAGAGGCCTGTCTCAACCAGTCCTCTCCTGCTGGGTAACCCAGGACTACTTGCACTGATCACCCAGAGACTAGCTGAGGCAGGTGGGTGATGTAGTAGATAGAGCACTGAGCCTGGAGTCACGAAGACCTGGGTTTCAAGGTAGCCTCAAGCACGTACTAGCTATGTGACTTTGGGCAAATTACTTAACCTCTGTCTGCCTTGGTTTTCCCATCTGTAAAATGGGGATAATAATAGCACCACCTCCCAGGATTATTGTGAGGATCAATTGGGATTCTACTTGTAAAGCACTTAACACAGTGCTTGGCACATAGTAGGTGCTGTGTAAATACTAGCTGCTATTATTATTATTAGCATAGGTGATACCTTGTCACTGAGAGTGGTGTGAAAGACTGAGTGGCAAAGTGGAAAGATTGCTAGAATCGAGAAATCAATCAATAAGCATTTATTAAGCACCTACTAGATGCCAACCATTGTAGTGAGAGCTGAGATATGATAGCATAAGCAATGGATTTGGAATTCTAGATCGAGAAAGAGCCCCAGAGGCCAACAAGTCCAACCTGCTCACTTTACAGATGAGGAACTGAGGCCCAGGGACAAGAAGGGACTTGCCCAAAGTCATACAGCTAGTAAATGGTACAGTCAGGATTTCAACTAAGGGCCTCTGACTCCTGAGTCCAAACTCTCTCTATTGCACCACACTACTTCTTAATCACACTCTCAGAGCTTCATACAACAAATCTACTCTAGGTCTTCAAGTGCTGCCCTCTGACTGAATCCAAACTTCACAGAATAAATCCCCTTAATAAAAGGATTTATTCCGTACAACTTGGACTCAGTCAAAAGGCCACACTTGAGGACCTAGAGGGCCACATGTGGTCTCAAGGCCTCAGGTTCCCACCCCTGCAGTCTTCCTCCTAAGTAAGTCTTGCCTTAATCTACTACCTGGCCTCTAAAAATCTTCCACCATTAAGATTGAAGTTCCTTGAGGGCCAGGGCAGTGTCTTATTTCTCTTTGCATTTTCCCAGCATGGGGTAGAGTTCTAGCATTACAGGTGGTCTGGGAAAATGTTGAATGAATGAAAGCTTTCACATCTGAAAATTTCACGTCTTCCTGGGTTGATTTACTTTGGAACGCAGCCTTGGATTCAATTCTTCTTGTGTTCAACTGATTCATAGTGAGAATATGGGCAAGGGAGAAGTCCCTTAATTTCTTTTGGCCCTATTTGTATTGTCTGTAAACTGGGGATAGTAACATTGCCTACATGACAGGGGGCTAGGATTTGGAAAAGCACATTGCCAACCGTAAGGCGAGGTATTAGTAGTTGTTTTCCAGGGGCCATATGTAGAGACAGAGAGCAGACATGGTAAGTGCTTAATGAGTGTTTCGGTAAATTTCTTGAACTGAACTGCGTCCCAGATCTGGTGCTAACTAGATTACCAAAGATTTCCTGATGCAAATTTCAACCATCATTGTTTCACTCCTCATCTCCCTTGCCTCAACAGCTTTGGGACAATGGTGACCACCTCATAATGGCGACTCCCTCTCAGTCTTCAACCTCAGAGATGCTATGCTCTCTTGGGTCTATCTCTATCTCTTTAAGGCAGTTAGATAGTACCAAGGATAGAGTGCAGGATTTAGAGTCCAGAAGAGCTGATTTCAAATCCTGACTCTAAAACTCCCTGAGTGACCCTAAGCAAAGTCACTTAACCTGTTTGCCTCAGTTTCCACATCTGTAAACCGGGGATAATAATAACAACCTACCTCCCAGAGTCGTGAGGATCAAATGAGATAAAATTTGTAAAGAGCTTTGAAAACTCTTCTATTCTGGTTTCCCGTCTTGTTTTTTCAGACCTTCCTTTTTTCCCCAAGGTCCTGTTGATGATTCCCCTCCTCTATTCCCCTCTCCCTTTCTCTTCATCTCTCTTTCTGTGCTCTTCCCTGGGAATCTTAGTCACTTCCACCACTTTAACTACCATCTCCAAGCAGATGACCCCCAAATCTCTAGCCCCATTCCTGACATCTCCTCTGAGCCCCAGACCTGTATCTGTCCAATCACCATCCAGACATCTCCACTTGGTTGTCCAGCTAACACTTCAATTCAACACAACCAAACAAACACTCATTAGCTTTCCCCTTAAAACTTGCTGGAAAACATGCTTATAAATGTTTAACATCTGGCTCTCTTAAAATGCAAGAATCTGCATTATTATTATTTTTCTGCATCACTTTCTTAAGTCTAGGCAGTCAACAAAACAATTGATCAATCCCTGATTTGGAGCATTCGCTGATTTCTGAAGTGTGATTGTTCACCCAGAAAATTTAACAATCAGCTCTGCATGTGCTGATCCAGCACACCCCTGATCCTTATTTCTCTTGACTGTACTATATGTATAGGACCATTTTTTCCATTTTAGAATTATCTCCACTGAGATATTTTGAAAAGGAAGGACACAATTTAATTAGGTTCAGTTGCAGGGCAGGGACACACTCCCAGGCCTCTGTTTAAGGAAGGGGTTCAACACAGTCTTTCTTCCCATTTCCCACCAACTTTGAGTCTTCTCCAGAAATCTCCAAGATATCCCTAGCAGGGTACCTTCCCACCCTGCCTATAGCTTCTGTTTGTGTATTGTCTTCCCTCTTTAGCTTATAAGGTCCTTGGGGCAGGGTTTGTCTTTGTTTTTATTTTTATTTGTATCCTCAGCTTTTAGCTTAGAGCCCCCTGAATGTTTATTGACTGACTGACTGATCTGTGACCAGCTTTATCTTCTTAAGTACCATTTCCTAGAATAGTACATCAATTCCTAAATTAGTAGAATATACTCTGATGGCTCCACTCTCATTAATGATGAGAGATGATGATGCAAATGTGTGCAAATCTATTCTATATTATATCTATTTGTTATTTTCCTTTCAGTTGCAACTGCAGAGGTTAATGGGGTAATTTGGTTGAGGTAAGTCTCACACCAACTCCCCTCTACTGCTTTCCCCCATTTTGTGAGGTTATACTATTCCAACAATGGATTTTTTTTTTAAGATTAGTTTATTCTAAATCCTTGATTATAGCATTTCCTTTCTCAGTAAGATGAGCAATGGCTTGTTTAAGGTGGTTTCTGGGCTCTTTTGGCCTCCTTGTTATGGCATTGCTTTACATCTGCTACACTTCTGTAGCAAGTGGTGATGGTCAATGTCAGTTTCTTTTTCTTTATCCATTGCTCATGTTTCAGGGTCAACAGCTACTTGAATACCTCAGGATGGAGCTGCTATAATTGTACACAGTGTCTTCTCATGTTCATCCTTTCTTCTAATTTGGTTTGGGTTTTGACCTTTACTTTAACCAGTCAATGATCTGATTGCACAGACACCTGATGCTAAAAATGACTCCCACATGAGTAGCCAGCTGTTTTCTGTTTGTCAATTTCATTTTTCATGATGTTGTTTGGGGCCTTCTCATACTCTTCTGAAAGCATTCATGATCCACAGGGCTGAGACCACTGAGGCCACTCTATGAGTCTTTGGCATCTTTTATACCTTAATCCTAACCACATTTTCTACCACCCTCCCCGGGTGCCCAACTTCACATTACAGTCACAGATATATATATAAAATCTTGGTTTGTCAGGTTTTTCCAAGAATCTCTCCACTTCATCCAATTTTGGTACATGAGCTAAGATTTTCTTCATGGTGGCGTATTTATGTCCACTCATCATAAAACATTACAAAGTGAGTTGACCAAGTAGCCTATGAAATGCTATTTCTTATTATTGCCCGTATGTACATTATGAGTCTACCATAAGCAAACTTTAATTTCCCATTTTGAGGAGATGTCATGAGTTTTTCCATTTAGCTAAAAATCACACTTTACATCTTCCAGTTTCATTCTCAACAGGAATGCCAACACAGATAGGATTTGGTTTCTCTGTTAAAGCATGATCTTTACACATAGTATCATGGATACGACTGGGGGAGATTTCAGTGGTCATGTAGTCTAACCCCCTCATTTTACAGAGGAGGAAACTGAGGTACAGGGGAGGGAAATGACTTGCTCAAGATCACACAGGTAGGAAACAGCAAGGTTAGAATTTGATCCTAGGTCCTCTGATTCTAAGTCAAGTACAACTTCCACCCTGCCTACCTCTGTGGGTCTATCTTGACTCCAAGTCCCAGAGAATTCCTCTATTGGACCTCAGTCATGCCACCCAAGAGGTAGCAGGTGGAGCAGTGAATCGAGCATCTGGACATAGAGACAGGAAGACCTTAGCTCTGTTCCTGCCCCAGACGTTTTCTAGCTGTGTGAACATGGGCAAAGTCACTTAACCTTAGTTTCCTCATCTACAAAATGGAGATAATAATAGCACTTACCTTCCAGGGTTGTTGTGAGGATGTATCAAATAAGAGAATATAGGTAAACCATTTTGTAAACCTTAAAACACCATAGAAATGCTACATCAGCATCATCAGCATCACGCCTTACCATGCCGGAACTGGCGCTTGATGAAACGCTTACAGTAGATGATGGCGAAGGCTATGAGGGCCAGGGCAAAAACAATTATCACACTGCTTGTTAGCACCATGAGTGTAGCTTCCTGAGGGGGCGCTGTGGGCACCTCAAGCTTCACAGAGCTCAATCTGAAGGCACCTGTGGTACAAGATGGGAAGGAGCATCAGAATGGGGCACGAAACAAAGTAGTAGGCTCCCATCTTTGCTGGGCACAACTTCCGCCATGAGAGGGGCTTCTTCAGGCCAGAACCCCCACTTCCTTTATGTCTCTCCCAAGTCCTAGCGCCAAAGGCCTCTCTTCATCCTGGTTACCTGTAGGTCACTGCATTGAGATCCCCTCCCTGCTGGGGTAGAGTAAGAAGGTAGTGTGGTGCAGTGGAAAGAGTACTGGACTTGGGAGGTGAGAGGGCATGGCTTCTGGGCCTGGCTTTGCCTCCATCTGTTCACTGTATGATCACAAGACCTAGTAACCTGGGCAAGTCATCACCCTTCTGGCACTGCCTGCAAAATGGGTTTTTTAGACTTGAAGATTTCCAAAGTTTCTTCTAACCCTGATGTTCAAGGGAGGCTAGATCTAGAACTCAATGTATCCTCACAGGTCCTTTTCAATCCCTTGTTGGCTGTGTTAAAACAGGGATTCCTTGTGGGTAGGTAGAGGTTGTACTAGATGAATGCTGAGGCCCCTTAGCATTCTCCAGTTCTGTTATTTTTTGACCTGGTCCAAAGCCCTTCCTTTACTTGTCATGGAGAACCATGGCCTCAGGGCCCAAGTGACTCAGCAGAGGTGTCCCAGAGGTAGGATTTGAAGCCACATCATTGGATTCCAGAGCCACACTCTGTCCACTATACGACACTGCTCTGAAGTCTTCTCTTTGTGACTCTGACTTGGATGGCTTGAGGTCCCTCTCGCTTTTCCCACTTGATGGTTCTGTAGTCTCCTGTATGTCCATCCCAAAAGCCCTTTCCATGCTTTTGGGGACCCCACTTCCCCAGACTGCTAACTCTACCCATGCCCAGGAGAGAAGTAGAAAAGATACATACATTGAACCTCTGACACAGGGGTTTGCTTGGTGCATGAGATGCACTCCTGGTCCTGAAGGCCACCGATTCGGGTCTTACAGTAGAACCTGATAGGTGAGGAAATAGGAAAAGAAGAACTTGGAGTAGGTAGGAAGCTTCCCAAAGATGCATAGATGCTCCATTGCTAGGCCTGTCCTTAAAGCCTAGAGTCAGAGAACTTGGCTTCAAATCTGGTCTCTTCTATTTACTACCTATGTTGGCCTTGGGCAAGTCACTCCCCCTCCCTCAGCCTCAGTTTCCTCCCCTGTAAAATAAGAAGAGTTAGATTAACTGGCCTCTGAGCTCAATTCCAGTTCTAAACCAATGATTCCATGTAAGACCTTGGTTTTTAGCTAGCTGGCTTCTGAGGTTGCTTCCAGATCCAGGTCTAAGATCTTATCATCCTTTCCAGTTTTGTGAGATCTGGCCTCATCTTCAAGTACTCATGGTCATACCTTGATGCTATTATGAAGTACTGGAGATCAGCCATAGAGGAAAACCAACCCCTACTTGGGCATAAGCTGGACTGATGAAATATTTGCATTGAATAAGTGGCTACCAATGGCCATTCCGTGGAGGCCAGGCTTGTACCTTTTTCTCACATGGAGTGGCCACGCCAGAAAGAATACCATATTAGAAGGCAGGAGACATGGGTTGGAGACCAGGTCCTGCCACTTCTTCGATTTGACCTTGGGAAGATCACCTCCACAGGCTGAGCTTCAATCTCCTTATCCAGAAAATGGAGACAATAATACGGTTAATACTCTGCACAGCACTTTGACCCTCCCAAGGGTCCGTAACATGTTATACTGTGCACCCCCATTATCTGTGTCTGTGTCATGCCACTTACTTCACAGGAGCAAAGAGCATGCCTTCTCTAAACTCTATCTTGCCTGGCTACTATACAGTAGTTACTTAGTAAATGTTTTTTTGAATGAATGAAGGAATGAAGGAATATATGTTTTTATTCCTAAATCAAGAAATGTGAGGGATACAAATTTCATAAAATGTAGAATGCTAATGACAGACTGGATCTGAGACTCGATCAGTCCATAAGCCTTGATCTTGTACTTGGAGGGGAGCTTAGCACTGTGCTCTCTCTCTCCCCTAAGCCAGGCTGCCTTGTAGGAGACATGTTCACATGTAAGTGTATATAGTGCGTAGGTTGGCCTTGAGCCCAGGTCTTATTGACTCCATGGCTGTCTCTCTCTCTCCTCTAAGCCATGCTTCCTTGGAGGAGACATGCCCACACATGGGTCTATCTAGAACATAGAATATCAACAGTAGAAGGGACCCCAGGAGTCATCTAGGACAGCCCCCTAATTTTAAATACAAAGAAATTGAGACTCTGAGAGGCCAAGAGATTTGCTCGAGGACACACAATCAGTAAACACCTGAGCCAGTCTCTGAACCCAAGGTCATAGGTTTATAGATGAATGATCATTTCTGAAGGAACTTCAGAAGGCATTTGCCCAAAGTTGAGAAGTGTGCAGATGAGAAGGCTGAGATCTGCAGCAGCGAAGCGACTTGCCGATGGTGCCACTGCAAGCAGAGGACCATCATCTCAGGAAGTCATTAAGTTGTTGCCCAAATAGGGTTAAATACATGAAAGCATTTTAAAAGGCATAAACCCCTCTGGAAATGGGAGTGCTTAGTTTCCTTCCCATTGCCAAGAAGCCGGGGAATCGACTCACCTGGGGAGACAGTCTCCACAGACTCCATTGGAAGTGGCAGTGCAGTTGACTTTCTGGACTCGGTTGATGACAGCACAAGTTAGACAGGCTTGGCAGCTATGGTGGCCCCAGCCACTCTTATATCTTCGGGGGGGACAAGGGGTGCAGAATGCATCTCCTCCTTCCCCATAGCCACATTCCTGGCAGGAAAGGGACATAGAACATAGATCGCAGTCATATATTCTCCCTGGGGAGCTAGAAGCTCATTCTAACTGGACCCCCTCTTAAAGATTTCAAAAATGGTCACATAGTTGGGAATTACCGAGGCTTTCAATCCAGAATTACTATTTGTCCCCTATTCTGCACCATGTGCGGACAAGCCATGTGACCACCCTGCTTTGGTATGGGATGTGGTATGGCCTCCTGGAAATGGCACCTAGGGAGGACAGAAGCGGGGCATGTGGTGGCGGTGGGAGAGAGGCTAGTGCGCAATGGCAACAGTGTTGGGGACAATGTTGTACAAGGTAGAGAAGATGAGGCTGGGCAAGGGTAGACATGTAAAAGATCTGGGGATTTTAGTGGAGCTATGAAATGACAATAGAACATGGCAGACCAAAAAAGATGTAGCCATCTTAGTTTGTATTCAGAAAGGGGCAGCTCCCCACCCTAGGGAGATGACAGGTCAGTGCCTCTATATGCTGCTAGGCTCAGACCCCGTCTGGATTACTGTGGTCAGTAATAAGCATTCTTTTTTATGAAGGATGTTGACAAGTTGAAACAGATCATGAGGGTGTCTAGGAGGAAAATCAGGCCAGAACCAGGTGCAGTTGGAGGAAATGGGGGTGGGTGGGTAGGGGGTTTTTAGCTGAGAGAAGAGTTACTGGGGGCTAGGATCACTATCATAAATTTAGGACTAGAAAGGGCCCCAGAGGCCACATAGCCCAGCCACCTCATTTTACAGTTGAAGAAATTAAGGCAGAGAGAGGTTAATACATATAGTTCATTAGTGCGTGAGGTGGGATTTTAACCTAGGTCTTCTTGACTCCAGGCGTTTGCTCTCATATAGACCAAGAATGATGGCGTGACAATGCAAAGAATCAAGTTGTCCCTCAATATAAATAAATTAGAAAAAACCCATTTCTAATAATCATATCTGTCTCAAAGTAGAAAGGAGTGTTTTGGGAGGTTCCCCATCACTGTGTGTCCCAGTCTCCCAAAGCCCTCATTGCTGGAGGTGTCGAGGATCAGATCCTGGCTCTGCCAGTTACCACCTCTGTAACCTTGAACAAGTCATTTGCCTTGTCGAGCCTCAGTTTCCTCATTTGTAAAATGAGTCGGACCCAATCATCTCCTAAGATTCCTTCTAGCTCTAAATGCTAGGATCCTGCTTTCAGGGAGGGCATTCCTGCTAGGATAGCTAGGGGACTAGGTGCCCTCCTCTGAGATCTCTTGGAGTACTATAGCTGGGCTCTGCCACTCACTACCTTTCTGACCTTGGGTGGGGCAGTGGGGGGAAGGGGGGAACTTGTCCTCTAGGAAATTCGACTTGGTCTAGATTCTAGACTCTAGAATCTCTATGACTCTTTCTAGTTCTAAAAGTTGTCTCAAGAGAAGGCTCATGGCATGGCCACTAACCAGAGACAATTCTCAGTGCTGGGCCAGACTGGACCCTCTCTGATACCCTTTGGGTATTTGTCTCAGACCCCAGGGAGGAACAGTTACCTTCCTAGGGCAGGAAAGAAAACAACTGGGAAGTTCCCTCTCTCTAGTCAGCCACTATCACTTAGCCCAACAGACAATTTCTAGAAGCCTCCTTCCCAAAAAGACATTGCCCACAGGACCATGGGGGTGTGTTCGACCTTCTGGGTTAGGGTTGCCTGATTTATAGACACTGTTTAGCTCTGTACCCCTTCAACTCCCCCCTCCCTCCCACACACTGTTTTCAGGGGGGGGAAAAAAGATGTTCCAGCTGGTCTTACCTTGGAGAGCTCCTGGCCAGGGCCGCACTGTTGGCAAGTGACACAGTGTCCCCACTGGTCCCGGTACTGATTCTCTTGGCACTCCATGCTGCTGGTCTAAGAGTGGGGAATCTGGGAGCAGACACCAAGGGAAGGTCTGAGATGGGAGCAAGGAGAGACGTGGCTGCTCACAGTGTAGAGGGAAGAACACTGGCCTTGGGTTTGAGATCCAGGCTTGCTTCTATTTAACTAGCTGTGGGGCGGCTTCCTTCTCTGTCAAATGCCACCCAGAATTAGGGACCATGCTCTTGGCAACAAGCGAGGTGCAGAAATAGCCTGGTGTACTGCCAAGAGAGCTGTGGGGGGTAATGTCAGGGGAGGGAGTGGGGCCATCTCAGACTCAGCCCTAGCTCACGGGGGATGGGGGCAAATCTAGTAACCCACTCCCACCCCCATTTTCCTCATCTGCACAAATACTTGCTCCAATCTATTGCTCTTCTCAGGATTTGGTGAGAGGAGCCCAGATAGGAGACTCAAGGTGTTTAGAGGGCTTAGGAAATAGAGAAGAAGTAGGATTCTTTGGTCAGGCTCTTTCTGAGCCCACACCAGGGAGAATAAACTAGTTTCTTTTTTTAAGGGGGTCTGTATGTATTTGGGAATGGGGAACACCAGCACACCATGATGGCACGAATAACTGGATCTGACATTGGGTGACTTGGTTTAAAATCCCCATAGCATCACTAGTGTCTCATGGTTGTGAGAAAACCACTTAAATTTCCTCAACCTCAGTCTTCTTCTCTGTAAAATGGCCATGATTATGTTATTACTCCCTGCCTCCTAAAGATATTTCCAGCAAAACATGTTTTTTAAACTGCAAATTGTTCTAGATATAAGAATGGCTCTTAATTTTGTCCCCCAATACAATAGGGTATAATTAAAAAAAAAACAAAAACAAAAACACTGGACTTGAAATCAGAAGACCTATTTAATCCATGTGACCATGGGCAAGTCTTCTCCCTCATTTGAATCTTGGTTTTCTCATCTGTAAAATGGAGCTAATCAGATGAACATTTTCTGTTTCACAAGGCTGGTATGAGAAGAGCCCTTGGGAAACTCGAAATTACTAGATAAACAGAACAATTCTAATTATTCCCAAGTTTGACCCTACAGTCAGAGGAGGAGACTGAGTGCAGAGAATACAACCCTCAATAAAACCCACATGATGAAGCTACCCCTAGTGGCATTCCTGGAAAAGAAAAACCTTCTCCCCACTGCTCTCATAGGTCCATAGATTTAGAGCTGAAAGAGACCCCAAAACTGGTCCAAATCCCTCATTTTACAGATGAAGAAACTGAGGCTTAAAGAAATGTAGCAACTTGTCAAGAGTCACATAAGTAATAAGTGGCAAAGATAGTATTTAAACCCAGCTTGAACCACTGGACAGATCTTCTTTCCTTCCTTCCTTCCTCTCTCCCCCCATCTCACCCAAGCTGGAAGTACAGGGACTACTCATTGCTCCAGTCCCACTCTGATCATTCACCTGCCCTGGACTCATTTGCTTCTCCTTAGGCAACATGGTGGCATCTCCTGCTCCTGAGGGCTCACTCTATTTATGCCAAACTTGGTACACTCACATGATTGCCTTAGCCACTCTGTGAGATGGGCTCACAAATATGCTCTACTGTGCTCTGTCTGTAGTTCACTTTCAAGAGCCTAGAGACGTTCACCTCTTGTATAAAGTTATTAACTTCTCTTAAACTCAGCTGGTGGCCCCTACACCTAACCTGAGGCTTAGTGGAGCCATATCTTCATCCCCCCACTGAAGTAGAGGAAGGAAGGAGAGAGAAAATGGAAGGGAAGGGGAGAGGGGGAGAGCAAGAGGAGGAAGAGGAGAGGGAGAAAGACACACAAACAAGAGGTGTAAGAAGAGGAGGGGGATGAAGAGAGGAGAGGTAGGGGAAAAGAGAAAGAGGGAGGGAAAAAGAGGAGAGAGGGAGAGAAAGAGATTAATTAAGTATTTTGCAGGCCTCACTCATGACAAATAGGATTCAGTGCCAGAGGCTTAGAGCCAGCCTACTGGTCTGGACAGTACCCCTATATCCTTCTCCTATCTACAGAAATAGAAATAGGCTTCCAGAAGTGGCCCACCAACAGTGTCCTTGGGGTGAGCTCTGGACAGTGGTATTTGAAATCTCCAGGGTGGTGACTCCTAGCCTTTGGGAGGGGAGACACTTGATCTAGTCGATTTCTTAGAGGATTGTGGACTTGGAAGGGCTTGTCAAGGTCATCTAGATCATAGGGTATTCGAGCTGGAAGGGTCGTTCTAGTCCAACATCCTTGTTTCACACTAGGGGCAATGGAGAAGCAGCTACAGCAGCAGATATTGGACAGAGCCCCGGACTTGCAGCTGAGCTGCCTGGGTACAGTGTCAGCTCTGCCACTTCCTAGCTTTGGGGCTTTGAACAAGTCCCTTCCCTACTCTGGGCCCCCGTTTCCTCATCTATAAAGTGAGGAGGCTGGATAGATGACCTTTGAGGTTGCTTCTAACCTGAAATCTATGGTCCTGTGACTAAAGGATTTGTAAGAACTCTTCCATCTCTAAAGAAGACCATCCTAAGGAGGTCCAGAAAGGCTCATTAACTGCCCCCAGGGCATAGAGGAAGAAGATAGCCAAACTGGAACTGGAATCCTCATCAACTTTCGATAATCCTTTCTCAAAGTGCCCAGGCCAAGGGTGGGGAACTTGCGGCCTCGAGGCCATGTGTGGCCCTCTAGGTTCTCAAGTGCAGCCCTTTGACTGAATCCACACTTCACAGAACAAATCCTTTTTTTAAGGGGGTTTGTTCTGTAAAACTTGGACTCAGTCAAAGGGTTGCACTTGAGGATCTAGAGGGCCACACGTGGCCTCGAGGCCGCAGGTTCCTTACCCCTGGACCAGGCCAAAGAAATAGGAGCTTCTTAATGACAACTTCCTTTTCTCTAGCCCTGTAGGATTCATAAAGCAGTTTCTGATTTACGATGGGTTTTCCTAACAGCCCTCTGAGATACTATCCTCATTTTACACAGGAGGAAACTGAAACTCCAAGGTGTAACATGACTTGTCCAACTCGAAGTCAATGGCAGAGCTAGGATTTATACTCAGGTCTTATTATTCCTAAGACAGTCGTATTTCCATTATACTGTATTGCCCATGTCCTGGGGCCCTGGGGGGGTGGGGTGGTCCAAGCCGTGGGACCTTGGGCAAGTCACTTGCCCTCTTTGGGCCTTGGTTAGTAAATCCCCTCTTGAAAATGAGGAGATTGAGGGGCAGCTAGGTGGTGCAGTGGATAGAGCACTGGCCCTGGAGTCAGGAGGACCTGAGTTCAAATCTGGCCTCAGACACATAATACTTCCTAGCTGTGTGACTCTGGGCAAGTCACTTCACCCCTATTGCCTTACCAAAAAGAAAAAAAGAAAGAAAGAAAATGAGGGGATGGACTAGATGGCCTCTGAGGGTCCTCCCAGCTTAAGAGCTAGGATCCTTTGAGCACTAGCCATACACTAGTATTTATAAGTTTCCTTGTTGCTGCTATTCAGTCATGTCCAACTCTTTGTGACCCCATGGACCATAGCGCACCAGTACTGTCCATGGGGTTTTCTTGGCAGGTGGTTTGCCATTTCCTTTTCCAGTAGATTAAGGCAAACAAGGTGAAGTGACTTGCCCAGGGTCACACAGCTAGTAAGTGTCTGAAGCTGGATTTGAACTCGAGTCTTCTTGATTAGAGGCCCAACGCTCTATCCACTGAGCCTACAGTGGCCTATAGCTTCCTATAGGCTGCCCAATTAGTGGGCTACTATTTTCTTGGAGTGGCCTGTACCACCACCCCTTCTTGGCTAGGTTCAGCACTTCCCCAAATCAATGTCTGACAAACTCTCCTTAGGAACAGAAGCCTCTCAGCCTGCCTTGCCCAAGACTATATAACAAGCTAGATTCAGGCACACCAAAAAATGCAGAAGAAAATGAAAATCAAAGCAAAGTTGACAAGTCAAGATACCTAGAAGTATTAGCAATGGTCTCCAGACCTTGGTGCTGCCCCTGCTATGAATCTCCCTATTTCTCTTCCCTCCTCCCCCTTACCAAGAATGGCATCCCCTTCAGACCGACAACTCTCTTCTGCACTATCTCACTCAGAATTTTGGCCACGCAAGCCACTTTTCACTTGTGCTCTCTTTAGAATAATTAATCACAGAAAATCAGAGCTGGGAGAGACCTTGGAAATCATCAGATGGAGACACTGAGGCCAGAGAAGGGAAGCGACTTTGCCACAGTTCTATGACTAATTAATGGAGACCACCTGGTATAGTGAGTAGAGTGGTGGCCTTGGAATCAGAGAGACCTGTGTTGGAATTCTGGCTTTGACACATTAGCTGTGTGACGCAGGGAAGGCCACTTAACCTCTCTGAGACTCGGGCTAAATAACATCTGTAAAATGGGGATGATAATAATAGCACCTGCCTCACAAGGTTGCTGGGCAGATCAAAAAAGATGACATGTAAAGTTGTATATAAATGTCAGCCAGCATTATTAAATGGCAGAGCTTTTGGGAGGAAGGCCAAGTCAGATGTACCTTATACCAAATCCTGCTCTGAAGTGACTAACAGTATATTAGGTGGGGCAAGGGTGTGGAAGCCAGCTCTGATCCTCCCTGAGAGCTGATTGCTAAGTTTTCTGTGGGAGCATTTACACCTACGAAATTGGGAAACGCTACAAATTAGGGCTTGGTTGATTGTTTCATAGATCGTCTAGACTTGAGAAAGTGCCGAAGAAAATGTTGACAATGAAGATTAAACTTAAAAGTGTTTTGATTTCTCTCCCTGGAGAGCTGATTGTTAAACATTTGCAAGCAATCCCCTGAGTAAAACCCTGGTTTCTCTTAAAAGAGAGTTTTAAAAAGCAGCATGAAAAAACAGTGGAATAAGAGTTAGGTGATCTGGGATTAAATTCTAGTTCTGCTGCCAAGTAGCTGTGTGAACTTTGGCAAGTAACCTCATCTGTCCGGGCCTCAGTTTCTTAGTGGAAAGGGATCCTGGCTCTGTAGCTCACTAGCTGTGTGACTGGGTAAGTCACTTCACCATCCAAGGTCTTTTTGCTCCTCAGTAAAATGAAGAGGTAGGGGGAAGGTAGGTGATCTCAGGAGGTTACACCTTCCAGCTCTGACAGTCTATTAAATCTCAGAATAATTTTGTTGGGATCATTTCATAGACAAGCCAACTGTCTCAACCAAAAAAGAATTTTAATGGAGACAATAAAGAAAATTCAGCAAAGTCACCAAATACAAGATTAGGCTGCAAAATGTCATTAGCATTCTTATTTACTAGCAATAAAGATCAAGGAAACATAATAATGAAACCCCCACTTATAACTACAACAAAACCCATCAAATACTTGGGAATTAACTGACCTAGAAATATACAGGACTTGTTTGTTTTTTGTTTTTTTTTAAAAGGGTAACTATAAACCTAGAAAGACCGAAATGAAATAGGACCTAAATAGCTTGAGGGACATTCAACATTCAGAGAAGGGCTGAATGAATACAGGAAAAAAAATATATAATACACCTTGCTCAAATTCTTTAATGTTTAATTCAACACCAATCAAAATACCAAGGAGTTTCTTTATAAAATGATAGGGAAATGATAGAGATAGATGATAGAGTCTTCTTTGGGGGGGGATTGAATTTGTGATTTCATTGGTATAGACCACTGTTAGAGAGGAAACTCCCTCTGGCCACTGATAGAGTCAAGACTCAACCCAAGTCCCATGATTCCAAATCCAGTGATTCCCCCCCCCCCACCATACGACCTGCATTTTTATAGATCCAACTCCATTGCATTCAACAAGCGTATACTAGGTGTCGACTATGTGTCAGACACTGAAGATAAAAAGGCAAAAAATGTAACAGTCCCTTCTCACAAAGGGACTAATAGGGGAAAACAGACATAGTTGCAACAAAAAATAGAAAATATTTTGGGAGTGGGAGATACCCAAAGTTGGAAGGATTAACAAAGACCTCAGATGAAGAAACTCAAAGCCAGGGAGAAGGAACTCACTAAAGGTCACACAGGTAGAAACAGGACCAGAACCTAGGTTTCTGAACTCAAGGTCCAACGCTCTCTTTGTGCCATCACAAATCCGGTAACGTTTTGTTGTTAGAATTCTCTTTCCATGTGTCACATCCTCCTAATGACTATAAGTTCCATGAGGACAGCGAGTATATCTTACTCATACTTTGTCTCTGTCTTAGCACCCTGGACAGCGCTCTGCACAGGCCAGGTGCTTAGTAACTGCTTGTTGATGGTAAGCATAGGTATAGTGCAAAGAGTAAGGATTTGGAAGCTGAGGACCTGGATTCAAATCCTGATTCTGTCGATGACTGTGTAACCTCTGCCAAGTCACTTTCCTTCTCTGGACCTCAGTTTCCTCCTTTATAAAATGGGGCATCTGGAGTAGAGCAGGTTTTTTTCACCTTTTCCCTGGTATCATGGACTCCTCTGGCAGTCAGTCTGGTCAAGCCTCTAGACCCCTTCTGAGATCTGTCTCTCTTTTTTCTCTCCTCTCCTCTTCTCTCTCTCTGTATGTATGCATGTATGTGTATGTGTGTATGTATGTGTATGTATGTGTGTGTGTGTGTGTGTACACACACACACATACATACACACACACATACATATACATACACACACACATACATACATATCTTTAAGTTCAAGGACCCCAGGTTCGGAATCCTTGGATTCCAACCGCACAATTTCTAATTCTCCTTGAAATCCTATGACATCAAGTCCAAACTTCTTTCCACATGAAATGCCCTATTGGCCTGGGCAGTGGTAGTACAGTCATTTGGGCCACCCCCCCACCCCACCCCTGCCCCCAGCCCCAGCCTGTTCTCAGTTTGCTGCATACCTAGGGGGTGAAGCACTTTGTCTATCCCAAGCAGAGGGTGGGATGATAGGTCTAAATTAAGCCCCCATGCCTAAAGGAAGATATTTGCTTTTCCTGGACAGTGCACTTGGTGGGGATTAAAATGGGTGTGGAAAACAACATCCAAGGTAGCAGCCCTGCACCCTGCCCATCATTGCCCAATTCCTCAACCACTCTCATTCTTTCCCTCCCTGAAGCCCAAAAGTGCTTGCACCTCTTCTTGCAAAATCAAAGCAAAGAGTGGTCTGGGGAGGGGCAGTAGCTGAGGATCCCTCTTGTGAGCTGCACAGGGCCTTTGTCCCTTTCAGATGTTGGTCTTCTGATCCCCCATGCAATTCATGAAGTTGGTTTTGACACTTGGACACTTGACTCCTTTCCTGGGCCAAAACCATTTCTCCCATTGAGACCATCTCCACACCCATGGTGGATGATCCTTTGACTGAATCCAAACTTCACAGAACAAATCCCCTTAATAAAATGACAAAATAAATATCTAAATAAAATTTAAAAAATAAAAAAAAAACTTGGACTCAGTCAAAAGGCCACACCCAAGGACCTAGAAGGCCACGAGTGGCTTCAAGACCACAGGTTCCCCACCCCTGCTCTACTCAGAACTCATCTCATTTTCCATAGGAAGAAACTGATGGGGAATGAAGTGATGTGTTCACCTCTCCCTCACCTAGTGAGTGACAGAGCTGGGACTCACTCTTCAAGGCCAGTGCATTTTCCAGGACACTACTAAGTGCTGTGTGTCTGTGGAGCAGTCACTGCACCTCCCGGAGGCTCAGGGAAAGTGGGGAAGAAAAATGCTGAAGTTTCTCTGTCACCAGGGTTGCCAGGAGGAATTCCTTTGTCAATTGCAGAGCACTAGAGAAATGTGAGTTATCCATCTACTTTAGACTGCTTTGCCCTTTGAAAGCTTGAGAACAGAGGGAAGAAAATGAAACATCTTTTTTTTTTTGGCTGTTTGTTTTCAGGGTTACAGGTTTCAAGTAGAAAAGTTGGTCAAATTTTGCATTGATCTGTTGCTAAGCCAGGAGTGGGGTGGCTGGAAAATGACCTCTGATGGACTTTTACCCGGCTTCTAAGACCCTTTCAGCTCCTACTTACCTTTGCTCTCTGATGTTATTATTACTCTACTTCACATATGTCTAGATTTTAGTCACATTGGGTTGCTACGTGGTCCCGGCACACACAACATTCCATATTCTGAATTTGGGCCTTTGTTTAAGTGACACACCCCAACCCCCCCCCCAACTCCAATGTCTGCAACACTCTCCCTTCTCCTCCTCCTTTGTGTCTCTTTGAAAACCACAGCTCAGGAGGCACATCCTTAAGGAAGGCTCCGATTTCCCAAGTGATTACTGCTCTCAGCCTCCAGAAATTACTTTGTATTGGCTTATTCACATACTTGTTGTATTCTGCCCCCCTACCCCCACTCCCAGCCAGAGACTGTAAACTCCTAGAAAGCAGGAAATGTTGTACTTTTGTCTTTGGAGCCCCAACACTTAGCCTTCCACAGAGTTGACTTATTGAGAGAAGCCAGAGCTTTTTTCCCTTCCCCCACTTTCTCTCCCCTCCTCCATCCCCCTTACACACACACACACACACACACACACACACACACACACACACACACCCTGAACATCACAAGAAAGGCAAAGTTGAGAGCTGCTAATGCTTCAGAGAGCAGAGCAAAATGAAGTCTGGGGATGTGACAGTATAGCTTTCTCTTCTATGCATGGAATGTTAATCTGGAGTCACAATAAAAATCTGTATTTCCATTTTGCCCATATGGAGGTACAAAAGAATAAAGAGAGGAAAGAAGGAGAGAAGAAAGGAGAGAAGAGTCAAAGGAAAGTCACAGTAATTATCTCTGTCTGGCCTAGCTCTTCAGGAGTGTTTCAGAGTCCCTCCAGTTCCCAAAGTGATAGCAGAATTTTAACTGAGTGTGTGCGGGAAGCTGGGTTTAGTATTCCAAGATCAGTGCCCTGGCATATCAGCCTTGAGGGACCCTCACCCAATTACCGCACAATATCTGCCGGCAGCTTCTCACAGCAGCAGGGCAGTCTGTGCCAGAAAGATGCTAGAGTGCTGAGGACCCTTATTAAAACAAGTCAGTGTGCCAGGAGGAGCTGGCCCTCTCTGCCCAGCCACAAGCAGATGCTTGCCATATGGTTTAAATTCCTTACACTTACACACACACACACACACACACACACACACACACACACACACACGAAACCTCAAAAGACAAAAACAACATAAGCTTATGAGGAGAGTGGGAGAAAAAGTAAAAAAAAAATATATAAATATTTGGGTTGAGTCTGGCAACTACTGAGAAGGAATTCTCTTCAAGTGAGAGAAAGTGAAATTTCCTAGCCTGGGACATAGGAATATCATTAATCAAAGCCATTAGATCAAAGGGAGGGCAGTGAAGAACACTCAGTTTTCAGCCCACTGTGGAGGAGGAAATCATCCCTTTAAATGACTGTTGAACCCGTATCCACAAAGGGAGCAAAGATGGAAAAAAGTAGCTGAAAGGGCTCAGGGATTTCTCCTGCCCCTCTCCTGCCTCATTATAATAAGATATGGCATGGTGGAGGAGGTGAGGCTATGGACTCCCGGCTTTGGACTGTTGCCTTCAGAGCTGGCAAAGTAGAAAGAGTATTGGTTCTAACGTAAGAGAACCTGGGTTCGAACCCCACTTCTGTTGCTTACTATTTGTGACCTTGGACAAGTCCTTTCCCTTACCTGAGTCTCAGTTTCCTCATCTATAAAATGAATGGCTCGGACTAGATGGTATTCCAGCATGAGCTCCAGGATCCTATAGGTGACCTTGGACAGTTCACTTCATTGCCTCAGTCTCTTCTTCCCTCCCTTCCCCTCACATTTTTTCTGGCCATCCTCCATGGCCGGATGCTCTGTCTCCTCCACTCCCACTTACTGACCTCCCTGGCTTCTTTTAAGTCCCAATTAAAATCCCACTTTCTATAGGAAGCCTTCCCTAACCCTTTTTCATTCTAGCACCTTCCCTCTGTTCACTGTTTCCTATGTATCCTGTATAGAGCTTGTTTATACAGATTTATTTGCTTGTTGTGTCCCCCCAACCCCAACTGTAAGTTCATTAAGGTCAGGGACTGTATTTTGCCTCTTTATATCCCCAGTGCTTAACAGTCCCTGGCCCATAGTAGACATTTAACAAATGTTTATTGACTGACTGTATAACCTCTGAGGTTCCTCTGATCTCTGATACTATTAGAGCTGATGGGAATAATTAATAAGTAGTTTGTGCTGGTGTTTTTTTTTTAAATCAAACTTCTGATTTCATCTGAGTAGGAATGAAGATCACTACCTTCTCTGCAACTTAATTAACAGTCTTACCAAGCTGCCTTGGATGCTGAGGTTAGGTGACTTCCCCAGGGTCGCTCTGCTAGGAGGTATCACCGGTGGGATTTGAACTCAGGTCTTCCTGAGTCTTAGGCCATCTTTGCAACCATACTCTAACACACGGGTAATAAGAGGCAACTGTGCCACAGTGGATAGATCCTTGGGCCTGGCATCAGGAAGACCTGAGTCCAAATCCTGTCTCAGACACATAATAGCTGTATGAACCTGGGCAAGTCACTTTACCTGTTTCCTCAATTGTAAAACAGGAATAATAAAACCCATCTCATAGAGTTGTGAGAATCAAATAAATCTGTCTTATCTGCCCCCACATACACACACACATATACACATATATAATCTATATTCTATATACAGATATATCTCTTTGCAAACCTTAAAGGGCTACATAAATGCTAGCTATTGTTGTTATTGATATTATTATTATTATGGGACACTTTTGGTGCATTGATAGAGCATTTTTAAATTTTTTTTGCTTTTTAGTGAGGCAATCGGGGTTAAGTGACTTGCCCAGGGTCACACATCTAGTAAGTGTCATGTGTCTGAGGCCGGATTTGAACTCAGGTCCTCCTGACTCCAAGGCCAGAATTCTATCTACTGTGCCACCTAGTTGCCCCCTGAGCATTTTCTTCCTAACCAGCCAGTGAAAGGGGTACAAGTCTTATTATCTCCATTTTGCAGATAAGGATACTGAAGTTCAGAGAAGGCAAATTGCCCAAAGTCACTGAGGCCAAGCCAGAACTCCAGCCCAGGTCAATGGACTCCAAATTCAGTGCTTTTTACAATCACATGGCCATTCCCCCACTAGTGGATTTAACTAACAATTTCCATGAGGCAGAGAGCATGAGAGCCTTATCCCTTCCCTCTTTGTATAGATGAGGAATCTGCACACAGCTAGGATTCGAATCCAGTTCTGCCTCCAGGGCCACAGAGCACCCTGACCCTCCATCAGAGGTGAGAAAAACACTAGAATACCAGCTCAGTGGAAAACATGAGAATCTTGATCATTGAGGGCAAAGGGCAGATGTTGAGTACTGGGAGACATGGGGTTTGCGACGATTAAGTGACTTGGTGACTTCTAAGCAAAGCCCCCTTCCCCCTCTAACCCTTCTAGCTCAGTTTGCCTGTCTACAGAATGAAGGTCTGGATTCAACAACCTCTAAAGGCCTTTTCCATCCATCTATGAGTCAATAATTCTAGGACTCCTCCAGAGGATGGGAATTGGGTGGATGCTTTTTGGACTGGCTTGGCCCTGGGCTTTACATTTTTATTTCTGTTCATTTTTTTTGCGGGGAGGGGGGGAGGGATGACCACCATTCTTGTCATCCAAGCTGGACCTTTTCCCTCTAGCTTGCAAACTTCACTGAACGTGGGCCCTGGAGGTCCTAGGAGTTCTAGGGTGACATACCCCTCCTGGAACAGAGAGAGAAAGACAGCCCATTGGTTCTCACGGGAGCCCCGGCCTCCAGCTCACATATCACAGGCCTCATTGGGTCTCTGGAATACTGTGACCTCCCCATCATAGGATTCATAGCTGGAAAGCACTTTAGAGTAGGCCTCTACTCTGGTAAATACAAGCCTTCATCACTCCCTGGCCTAGAATATTTATTAGACTTGTCATCCTGCCCCTCCTCCTCTCTGCTTTCTACATCACCGGTCCATCCTTCAACAAAGCCAACCTATTAATCTTCCTTAAGCTCCTCTGCTCAGAGCTCTACACTAGTTCCCTATTGTCTCTAAGTTAAGATGCAACTCCTGATCCTGGTATTTAAGGCCCCACAGAATCTGGCTCCAAACTTCCCTACTAGCTTTGTTGTCCCTGATTCCTCTTTACACCCTCCAGTCAAGCTAGAGTTCTCCAGAGCTGACCCTATAGGCAGCTGGCTGGGTGGTATATGGAGTCCAGTTCCCTATGCGCTACCCAGACTGGCTTGATCTCTGTCTTCTCTGGCTCTCCTCTCCTCTCTCTGTGTCTGTCTGCCTCTCTGTGCCTCTCTCTCTCTCTCTCTCTCTCTCTCTCTCTCTCTCTCTCTCTCTCTCTCTCTCTCTCTCTCTCTCTCTGTCTCTCTCTCCCCTCTCTCTCTTTCTCCCTCTTTCTGTCTCTGTCTCTTCTTATCTGGGCTAGGGATGGCAGAGTAAGCTGCTGTAGTAAGAAGTGAAACTAGGGGCTTGAGTGTACCTTAAGAAATGGGATAACTACTTTGCGTGAATTTCTAGCCATTGGATGGCTTGGGGTTCTAATGACTCTTTTCAAAGACTTCTATTTTTCCCCCAAACTTCTCTTTTTCAAAGAGAAGCCCAATACATTTGTAGCTGTTTAGCTCCCAAAGAAAGAGATTATATGAGACAGGTCATTCTCCCTAAAGCAGAAAAAGGAAAGCCGTAGGGATTTGGGGAGCTGAGACTGAGTTCTGAAGCATTCAGTCCTAGTCATGGACCAAAAAGTACCATTAAGTGATGTGTGGATGAGAACAGGAAACCTTAAGGAAGAGGCTTTTAAATAACAGCCTGGTAGAGAGAACAGCTCTGGAGTCTGAAGACCTTGCTCTAACTCTTACTGGCTCCTGGGCCTCAGTTACATCCTCTGTAAAATGAGGGGGCTGGGCTGGATGATGGCTGAAGTTCCTGCCATCTCTAAATCCTGTTCCTAAGATTATAGCTTGAGAGAGATGCCACCCACTTCGGATGACTCTATGGTCAACACCTGTCCAGGGCCAGGCAGCTCTCCTTTCCAAAGCCTGACAGCTGCCTGCCCCAGGTCAATGTCTGAAGAGGGGGAGGGGAATGAGGGAGGATCAAAATATCGCCCTTGCCCAGCCTTGCAGGGAGGGAGGGAGGGGGAGAGAGAGCCAGAGAGAGCCAGAGAGACAGAGAAAGAGAGACAGAGACGCAGGGACACAGAGAGACAGAGAGACAGAGTGAGAGAGAGAGAGAGAGAGAGAGAGAGAGAGAGAGAGAGAGAGAGGGAGGGAGAGAGAGGGAGGGAGAGAGAGAGAGAACAAGTGAAACTTAGCCAAGAGAAAGAAAGAGGCAGCCAGCGAGTGGAGAGCCCCCAGACAGCAAACAAGCCCCAACTTGTCCAGAGGCCCACGTGGGCGGCAAGAAAGCTCAGCTTCCCCTCAGGATGCCGAGGATGCTTGGCCCACCCCTGCCTCCCTCCAGCTCCATCCCGGTGCCCAGACCCTCCTCTGGCCTCCCAGTCTCCCCGCCCCATCCCGCCTCCTTCTAGCTCCAACTCTCCCCGCCCCCTCAGGCCTCCCAGAGGCTGGGATGCTTAAGGATGCGGGATGCGCCCAGGCATGTTCCCAAGCCCGCTCCTTTTGCAGCCTCCGGGTCATGGAATCACAGAATGTCAGAGCTGGGAGGGACTTTAGAAAATCTGGAATGTCAGGACATTAGAGAGGGAAGGGACCTTGGGCCCTGGATGGTCAGGACATCAGCATCAGAGAGAGAGAAGGAACCTTGGGCTTTGAAATATTAGGACACCAGGCATCAGAGAGAGAAGGGACCTTGGGCCCTAGATTGTTAGGACATTAGAGGGAAGGGACATTGGGCCCTAGATTGTTAGGACATTAGAGGGAAGGGACCTTGGGCCCTAGATTGTTAGGACATTAGAGGGAAGGGACCTTGGGACCTAGATTGTTAGGACAGAGAGAGAAGGAACCTTGGGCTTTGAAATATTAGGACACCAGGCATCAGAGAGAGAAGGGACCTTGGGCCCTAGATTGTTAGGACATTAGAGGGAAGGGACCTTGGGCCCTAGATTGTTAGGACATTAGAGGGAAGGGACCTTGGGCCCTAGATTGTTAGGACATTAGAGGGAAGGGACCTTGGGACCTAGATTGTTAGGACAGAGAGAGAAGGAACCTTGGGCTTTGAAATATTAGGACACCAGGCATCAGAGAGAGAAGGGACCTTGGGCCCTAGATTGTTAGGGACATTAGAGGGAAGGACCTTGGGCCCTAGATTGTTAGGACATTAGAGGGAAGGGACCTTGGGCCCTAGATTGTTAGGACTTAGAGAGGAAGGGACCTTGGGACCTAGATTGTTTAGGACAGAGAGAGAAAACCTTGGGCTTTGAAATATTAGACCAGCACAGAGAGAAGGGACCTTGGGCCCTAGATTGTTAGGACATTAGAGGGAAGGGACCTTGGGCCCTAGATTGTTTAGGACAGAGAGAGAAGGAACCTTGGGCTTTGAAATATTAGGACACCAGGCATCAGAGAGAGAAGGGACCTTGGGCCCTAGATTGTTAGGACATTAGAGAGAAGGGACATTGGGCCCTAGATTGTTAGGACATTAGAGGGAAGGGACCTTGGGACCTAGATTGTTAGGACATTAGAGGGAAGGGACCTTGGGCCCTAGATTGTTAGGACATTAGAGGGAAGGGACCTTGGGACCTAGATTGTTAGGACATTAGAGGGAAGGGACCTTGGGCCCTAGATTGTTAGGACATTAGAGGGAAGTGACCTTGGGACCTAGATTGTTAGGACATTAGAGGGAAGGGACCTTGGGCTTTGAAATATTAGGACACCAGGCATCAGAGAAAGAAGGGACCTTGGACCCTAGATTGTTAGGACATTAGAGGGAAGGGACCTTGGGCCCTAGATTGTTAGGACAGAGAGAGAAGGAACCTTGGGCTTTGAAATATTAGGACACCAGGCATCAGAGAAAGAAGGGACCTTGGGCCCTAGATTGTTAGGACATTAGAGGGAAGGGACCTTGGGACCTAGATTGTTAGGACAGAGAGAGAAGGAACCTTGGGCTTTGAAATATTAGGACCCCAGACATCACAGAGAGAAGGGACCTTGGGCCCTAGATTGTTAGAACATAGAATGTCAAAACACCTAACATCACAGATGGAAGGGGCACTGGAACACAGAATGTTTAAGTTGGAAGGAACGTTAGAAAGCTGGGGCTTTCAGTACGCTTAGAACGCAGGTCTGAACTAGAAGGCTCTTACAGATCCTTTAGTCCAGAGCCATCATTTACAAAGGTGGAAACTGAGGCCCAGCGAGGAAGAATGACTTGACTAGGGTCACAAAGACAGCGATAGAGTCGTGCCTCCCTCCCCCCTCCCCGACCCCACTGCCCCCCAACTCGCTCTGGCCACAGCTGCCCAAGCGCAGGGCGAGACAATGGGCTCCACCTTCCTACTCATCCAGGCTGAGCCCTCCCGGCGGGGCTGGGGCTGGGTCTGAGAGGCACTCATGAAAGCAGCCTCCTTTCCAGGTCCTGAACATTGTATAAGAAAGGCAGCCTGCCCGGAATCCCCCTCACCCCAGCCCCCAAAAGTCCCTGTGTAATTCTAGCCGTCCACCCACTCCCCTCCCGGGGCAGTCACCACACCTGCCTGTCCCCTCCCTACCGGTCTAGGAGGTGGTGGCCGCAGCGGCTGGATCAGGCAGGATCGGCAATCAGGCAGCCAGGCAGGCCGGAGGGCGGCCGGACAGGGAAGCAGGCAGAGCCCCCACCCCGCCCAGCTCCCAGTTTGCCCCCTAACACACTCAGCTGGCAGGGGCTTGAGTCTTCGGCAGTCAAATATCCGATTGACTCATCCACGTGTAGCCCCAGCCTCCAGCCCCGCCCTGGCCCAGTCCAGGCCTAGTCACAGAACCATTGGTCCTCTCCCCCTACTTGGGAGGGGCTATCCAAAACAGGTCCCCGCCTCTTCTTTCCAAGTGGGCGTGACCCATGGGCTGGGTAAACACTGAGCCTCCAGCTGAAACTGAATGAGCGATGGAAATGTTTGGGAAGGCATCCAAGGCCTACATAGGTCATGTCGTGTCTCCGCCGCGACCTCAATGAAGAGGCACTCTGGCACAGAGGATATTTGAGCTAGGAGGCTTTCTGGTATATAGTGGAAAGAGTGATGATTTCCACGGAACCAGAGGACCTGGTTAGAATCCTGGCTCAGTTATCTACCACCTATGTGACTTTGGGCAAGACATTTCATTTCTCTGGGCCTCAGTTTTCTCTTCTGTAAAATGGGAAAGTTGGCTTGGATGAGCTGTCAGATTCCTTCTAGCTTTAAATCTCTAAGTTTTCAAGTATAGACTGTCAGAGCTAGAAAAGACCATAGATCATAGACTATCAGAGCTGTGAGGGACCTTAGTACCTGGGATGGGGGCTGTTAGAGCTTGGCATCTGTGCTTATGAGTCCCTAGAATAGGGTTGAGTGGATCCAAGGACCAGGTAGAGGCCCAGCATGTGGAAGACACAAATGTTTGTTGAATTGAACTGAACATTTACCAGATTGAGAAATCCATGAGGAACAGCTAGGTGGCACAGTAGATAGAGCTCTGGCCTTGGAGTCAGGAGGACCTGAGTTCAAATCCAGCCTCAGACACTTGACACTTTTTCATTTATTTATTTATTTAGGCTAGGCAATGGGGTAAGTGACTTGCCCAGGGTCACACAGCTAGTAAGTGTTATGTGTCTGAGGCCAGATTTGAACTCGGGTACTCCTGAATTCAGGGCTGGTGATCTATCCACTGCGCCACCTAGCTGCCCCCTGGACACTTGACACTTAATAGCTGTGTGACCCTAGGCAAGTCACTTAACCCCAACTGCCTCACCAAAAAAGCAAAAAAAGCAAAAAAAAAAGGGGGGGAGAGAGAGAATTCCATGAAAGTAGGGTCTGTGTTAACCCTAAGGTGCCAGCCACCCCCACACATACCTGTGCTCACATAAAAGAATCCAGCCCTAAGGGCTGACCCAAGAGGCTCAGTGTCTCTTTGGCATATTGGCCCCACATGAAATTATTCCAGGAAGACATCTAGGTCGAGTCTAGCATTGAGCTCCAGCCTTGGTTTCCCCAAATATGGGTAACAGGGTCCCAGCTCCTGGAAAGGGGCTCAAGCAACACATAGAGGTAGGACAGCCTTCCTTTTGCTGGACAGAAGATTTAAAGGACTCATAGGGGTTCATAAACAGATAAAAAACATAAAACTCAAATCACCCATCAGTTCCCCTCAGAGGAAAACTGTACTCAGAGTTGTCATTGGGACAACTCTTAGACAACAGAACCCTCCCACAGGGTCCTACACAGTCCTTCCAGGACTGAAAATGTAACCCATTGGTTTGGATGACCCACAGAAGACAAACATATTTGGGGGAATTGATAAATAAATGAACTCCTTCCTGTTGGACCTGTACTGTCCAAATAACTCACTGGTTTTGTCCTTTAAAGGCACTTTTCAGGAACTATGGGGGAAATCTCCTTCTTTCTCCAAGGACTATATTGTATCAGGATATATGTTCTCTTTAGAAGGTCTGATCTGCCAATTCTCGAACTTGGCGTTATACGCGAACAACCTCTAAGACCAGCAGTACCTGAAGAATTGAAATCTCCCCTCCTGTACACACAAAGTTGGGGTTAAAGGATATTGTCCATGAACTATCCTTTCAGGCTCAGTGGGTACAGACACATGCATCTGCCTCTGCCATGGACTTCTGCAGGAAATCCCTAAGTGCCTAGGTTGGTGCTCTCTTTTGGACTACAAAAGTGAACGCTCTGGATCTTTCTATTGAGTCTGCTTGCAAGCACATACAACTGCTAAATGCGTCTGCCCCAAAACAGCCATTTCCAGTTCATGGGGGAAAGATTGTTTCTACACGGGCATAGGGCTTCTTTTCATCAGGGCTGCTGTGCTGCGTGCTGGTCTGGCCTGGCTTGTGAACAAGGGCAGGAAACAGGACAGTCCAAAAGACAATATCTGTCAGCTTGCTTTTATGGACCATGGAGTTGAGGGGTTTCTCCTACAAAATTCTTCCTTCCTTCCTCTTTCCACATCAACCAATCAGCTTAGAAGAGTTCCATGTCCTTTCAGGAAGGCATGCTCATACTCTCCATGGGAAGGCGATACCCAATTGATGTCTCCAAACAAAAGCTCTCTCCCTATAATCTCGTGTTGATTAGGGACCCCCTCCAACTTATCTATTTTTATGCCCGCCACCCCAACACTTAACACATTGTTTTGCACATAGTAAGTGCTTAATAATATAAATGATTGTAAAGTGACTAAATGACTGAGTGAATGAGTCAATGAATAAATGAAGTGTTCTAATGGTTTTAGAAACTAAACCCAAGACCCTTTGGCCTAGCAATACTTTCAGCCCATTGTCTGCAGTGTGCACTCTGGGAAGCAGCCCTTGTGTTTGAGACAGAACCAGGCAACTATTCCTCAAGGTGCCATTGTCACATCTATGAAAGACTCAGAAAAGTAAGTTCTTATCCCCCAAGTCTTTCACACAATTAAATGGGTCAGCATCAGAAACTGATCATTTTATCAGCAGAAATAACATTAAAGAAGATGAATTAGTATTTCATTTGTTGCTGCATCCTAAGGAGAGTGTGTTGACAAATATTTAACAACTGGATCTCCAAAAAATAATGGGCATGATACACTTAAGTTTAATCAGCATCGTGAACATTTTCTCCATCACTTTCTGATGTCTAGACAACCCAGAAAATAATAAATCTAGCATCAATTTGTAGGGTTTGTTGATTTCTGAGATGTAAATGCTCTCAGTGAAAATTTAACGATTGGCTCTCTCATAGAGAGAGCTCTCTCCAGCGCATTCCTGGGACCATCCACGTGTGTTGTCTCCTCCATTAGGATGTGAGCTTTTTGAGAGCAGAGACAGTCTTGCTTTGTTATTTGTATCTTTAGTGCTTAGCACAATTCTTTTATTTTTTATTTCTTATTTTTAGGCAATTGGAGTTAAGTGACTTGCCCAGGGTCACACAGCTAGTAAATGTCAAGTGTTTAGTCTGAGGTCGGATTTGAACTCAGGTCTTCCTGACTTCAGGGCCAGTGCTCTATCCACTGCACCACCTAGCTGCCCCTTAGCACAATTCTTTAGGTATAGTAAACATACCAAAAATGCTTCATTCATTCATTCATTCATTCATCCATCTGTCAGTGTGAACTAGTCAAGTGAGAGTTTAAAATAGCCTTCCATAACCTGGCCACTCTGAAGTGAAAGATAAAATGAAGTTCCTGAAACCACCCATAAAAGTCCTAGACTTCTAGACCCGGAAAGGACTTTAGGGTCCATTTAACCCAATCCCCTCATTTTATAGAGGAGGAAACTGAGGAACATAGAGCTCAAATGACTTGTCCAAAGTCATACAGCCAGTAAGTGACTGAGGTAGAATTTGAACCCAAGTCTTCCTGACTCCAGTTCCATTCTTCTCATATGTAATGACTACGACAATGTAGTTGGAAAGAAGAAAACAATAGCATGAAATAAATACTGCCAAAAAGAAGTGAGGAGAAAATTGGTCCTTACTCAGTCAGCCCATCAATCGATAGGCATTTATTAATGCCTCTTTGCAGAGGTAGAGAAATATGAGTGAGGAACATGACACTCTGGTAGATGTGGGTAATATGTAGTTTAATGTTACTGAACCACTATTCCCTCCTCTCTTTAAAAAGTCTTTATTACAAAGGAGATCTTGCTGAAGAGGGAAATATTTTTTGAGGCCAAAAATATTTAGAAATGAAGGTGTTCTAAAAAAGAACCCTGATAAAATTGAAAAATAACTATGAGTGGCTGACCTAGATCCAGGATTCCCAACTTTTTATATGCCATGGATACTCCCTTTGGCAGTGAATCTGGTAAAGCCTCTAGACCCCTTCTCAGAATCAGGTTTTTAGATGTCTCATTCTGCGTCTTGAATCTATCACTTCTCTTTCAGAAGGTAGATAGCATACTTCACAATCAAGTCTCTGGAATCCTGGTTAGTCATTGTGTTGATCAGAATGCTTAAGTCTTTCAAAACTGGTTCTTTTTACAACGTTGCTGTTATTGTATAAATTCTTCTTGTTCTGCTCGCTTCGCTCTGCATCAGTTCATACAAATCTTCCCATTTGTCTATGAAACTGTCCATTTTACTATTTCTAAGGACACAATTATAAATCATTACATTTATATGCCATAATTTGTTCAATCATCCCTCAAATTATGGGTCCTCCCTAAATTTCTAGGGTTTTCTTGCTGCTACCAAAAGAGCTGCTAAAAATAATTTCTACATATGGCTCCTATTTCTCATTCTTTGATCTCTTTGTGGTGTAAGCCTAATAATGGTATTGCTGGATCAAAGGGTATATACACAGTTTAGTGACTTTTTGGTCATAATTCCGTGTTACTTTCCCGAAGGGCTAGACCAATTCACAGCTATATCAACAGTGCATTGATGTGCCTGTTTTCCTCAAGTCTTGCCAACAATTTCTATTTTCTTTTTTTTTTTTAAAAAATCATCCTTACCAATCTAATGGGCATGCAGTGAAACCTCAAAGCTGCTTTAATTTACATTTCTCTAATTATTGATGATTTGGAGCATTTTTATATGGCTTTTAATAGCTTGAATTTCTTCCTTTTAAAACTGCCTGTTCATATTATTTGATCATTTGGGAAATGGCTTCTGTGCTTATAAATTTGAATCAGTACCTTATGTTTGTTTTGTTTTTTTTTTTTTTTGGCTTATGCAGTTGGGGTTAAGTGACTTGCCCAGGGTCACACAGCTAGTAA